TCTCAGGAACTCAGGAATAACATTAACCTCTCACTTCTCCCAATTGAGCATTATCTCGGTGGAATCCTTTTTTGCTTGTTACAAAGGAGGGGGCCTTTCGTTGCCGGGAACCACTTCGCCCTGTCAGATTGGCAATTCGCGAGCATACTGATGCCTATATCTCAGAAACTCAGGGACAACTTTGTCCCCTCATCTCTCAAAGTTGAGCGTTATCTTGGTACAATCCAGGGGACTTGAATTTCTTGCTAGCAAAGGAACGGGGCCTTTCGTTCCCGAAAACTTTGCATCTTTGATTTTTTTTTTTCCGTCCTAGGTGAACTGCTCCCTTCTATGGAGGTGGATTCGCAGTTGCACTAATGTGCTTGATCCAAAGGAGGTTTTTTCGGTGGGACGGGGAACCGAGGTCGCGCTAATGCGATATGCTCCGCCATGATACCCCTTACTTTGCTAGCTTTTGGCAGGAGTCTTCCCACCTGCGCATGATTATCATGAAGTGAACTCGCTGTAATAATAGTCACTCATCTGACTCCCTTATGGAAATGCAATTTACAGTGTGCAGCACGGAAATGGTACCCATTAATCGTCATGCATATGATAACATTCCTCTCTTTTACAATAAGCCGCTGTACTAAAAGGAGGCGAGAACCAGTCATTCGCCCACAAAACATCTGCCGCTCTTTTTAGCTTGAACTTGCTCTATGCCCCAATGAAGCAAAATCGAAAAGCGGGATCCTATTACGTTATGGCAGCTCTCATGAAGCAATTCTGAAGTTCTCTGCGAGTTAGCGCGTTGTTAAGGTGACCCATGGTGAACAAACTTAGCTATTGAAAGCTGTCACTTCTTCCTATCTCTAGGTCGGTCTATTACGCGGCTGTCCACTCAATGGGATCATGAAAGTGAGAAGAGGCTTGTACAGGATCCATCAGGGAGACCACCACTGCTCTTTTGGGCTCATTCAGCTGACAGAGATCAAAGGAAAAGGTGTGCCTTGGTGATGGCTGTTATACCTTGCCGCGACCTCTAAGTATCAGGCAAGGTCACGCCCAACATCTGTTGGTTGCGAACCACAAGAAATATCGAT